CTAGGCCTTACATAATTATAAGTATTTGATGTCCATAAGGAACCAAGTCACCTGTCTACTAGTTGTGTACTTCCCTATTTCTCAGAGGCTGTGGGAGGGTCCTTTTCAAACACTGGCCGGTTACAGTCCTTATGCAGAGTAATTCAAACGCTATCCTTCTTCGGATTCAATAACATAAACAGCTGATTTAGAGTTAATTTTGTTTTTACCTCTTCACTCCCTTCTTGTTTCTAAACAAGAAAATAAACTGATAACCATTCCCAAATATGCCAGCAATGTGCTCCTTTGTTTTTGAATGGAGACGTACAACCATCCCCCTTGCCACCTTTAGCAGGGCAAGAAGAAAAATTTTAGAGAACATCTTTAAGCTAGCTCTCTCTTCAGAGCTTGGGTTACTTGGCTGGGATCCTAGCTCTTGAATATACTCCTCATTGGATGTCTGGGTTTCTGTCCTCTACCATCCTAGACACAGACTCTCCCCAGCCCATCCTGTGCTCATCACCAGCTCCCTCTCTGGCAATGAGTCCCAGAGAGAGCACCTCTCTCTTGTAGCCCTCTGCCAGAAGTAAACTGGGAGGTAAAACAAGTCTGTGGTAAGGAGAGGCTGGGCCTGGGGGAGATTGGGTCTAAATGGATTTTCTCAGATTAGGATATATTTTATTTTTTTAACATCATTTTTCATGCTGTCATGCCCATCCCAATAGTTCTTAGACTTTGGAGAAGAAAGCCTGTTACAGCCAGCCAAAATGATGGAACTCATTAATGCCACAAACATTTACTTATTAGGGCATTATTCAAAGATATATGAGAAAACCGTAAGCCGTTGAGACAAAGTGCATTGAAGCAACACATCTAAGTTACTCCTTGGGCAGCCCAGAAAGAGGAATGGAGACAGGATATCTCTATGCCCTGATCCTTGAATAAGTTTGCACTAGAAAATTATCTCATTGCATGGAAGTGAGGCCACTACTGTTGGCCATTCCTTGGGTTCTCTGAGTCCCTATTTTCTCTACAGTAGAGTCTCTTCAGTAAACAGCTTAAAAATGACTATTATTTAAGTCCAGCCTGCTATTGTCCTTACATAGTAAAACTCTTTCATGAAGCATCTCACTGGTGTTGGGGACCTGATGAAAACTGCCTCTGGGCTCCTCTTGCCTAGACTTCCCCCTCTACAAGTGCACTTGCCCAGCTCTGTGTCAGTGTCCCCAAGAAGCCTTCACCCTCTGCTGTTTTTCCTCCACAGCACTCGGTAGCTCTCCCAGCATACTTATCACATTCTCCTGGGCATCACAATCGTTTGTGTATATGTGGCTTAGTTCTTCTACTGGACTGTAAGATCCTTGAACTAATTCAGCTTCTCTCCCCATCCCACCATGGCAACTAGCTTGTACCTTGCGGGGACTCTCTAAATATTTCTTGATGTGATATCAAAATTGTTGTGCCATCTGCTTTTCTCCATCTAACCTCAGAAGTTTGTTTGATGAGAGTTCTCCTTGGTCCTGACACTAGTTTTAGAATGTTCTCCTGTTTTGGAACTTTCAATGATGCAACACTTTTGAAAGCTATTGGAAGCATTTTATCTTATCACATTGTTTAAAGGAGGTCCAATTTTACTTTTCACAACCCTGAAAAACCAGGTCAAAGATAATCTGGAATATTTTATAACCTCTCTGGATCTCAGTCTTGAAAGACATAGTATCTTTGTTACTAAAGCCTTGTACAAGAGTAGTGCCAGCACTGGGGGAGCTGTGCATGATTATGTTGAGCTGTGCAATGCAGACCTGGCCAGTGAGCTGATGAATGAGTTACTCTTCCAGTAGAAGAGATAGCTTAGCGACAATCTTTTTTTTTTTTTTTTTTTTTATTTATTTTATTTTATTTATTTATTTTTTGCGACAATCTTAATGCTAGCGTAAATGGAAACAAAGCAAACTTACTATTTTGGGGGCCCTTTTGGGTGTTTAAAAAAATTTTTTTTTTACAAAACATCCTATGTTGTATGAAATTAAATATGGCTTGCTGTTTTACCCATATTCTATGTTTGGGAAGTTGCTTGAAAAACTACTGGCCCAACAAGTTGGTTTCTATCAACTACAACATTATGTGGGTTTCAATAGCTGAAGGCAATTTTTCCATGTGATTACATACACCGTACCCTTCTATGGAGAAGGATCCTGAAATGTACCACAGAGAAAATTATATTCTCTGGGAGATGGGTGGTTCTGTTTGATTCAGGGAAGTGTTTGTGAGTCTTTGGTTTTCTCTAAGTATAGTAAGTTCTGATGAAAAATTGGGTACTGAAATGCCTGATAAGGTTGAGCCCTGTTAAACTTTGTGAAGAGTCCCCCAAATTCATGACAAGTGGATCAGTCTTCATCATAAATACCACTGTGCCGGTCCTTTATCTACACTCCAGAATTTGACAGATAGCTGAAACTCAAGAGCTCTTACTAGCCCATGAGCCCTGAGGCTGAAATTCGAAGTAAAGAATCAAACCCTGTTGAACTGTCACCCCTCCATCATTTCTAAATCTTTTCATCTTTCTGTACCATGTTCAGATGGTGTAATAGAATATAAAAAGTGTCCTAGAAGTGAGAAGAAAATTGGGTTCTGTCCTCAGCTCTCTCTGACTCTAGGGAATTGATACCACCCCTCTGGGCCTTTGTTCATTCAACTATTAAACAAGTGGAAACTAGACTGATTGTTTCTCAAAGCCTAGTCCTTAGATGATTTGCTTCAAAATCATCTAGGGGTGGCATGGGGCTTGCTATAAAAATACACTTTCCTGGGCCCCGCTACAGTCCTGCGAATCAGTGTTTTTGGGGGATGAGGCTCTGGAATCCTTTTTTTTTTTTTTTTAAATAAGCTTCCCAGGTGATTCTTACGCTCATTAAAGTGACTCTTCTAAACTTTTTATTGCAGTATAACACACTCGTTAAGAGTTGGAGGATTATAAAATTAGAATATCTCTAAGATCCTTTCCAACTTTAAAGAATTCTAAGAATCAGTCCATTCAACACATTTACGCATGGGCACATTTATTAACAAGCATGCAACTTTGGACTCTGTTACCCCCTTTGCAGATCAGAGTTGCAGATCAGAGTGTAATTCTGCATGCTGTGTAATGGTCTCTCAGTGATTTGGAAAAACAGAATGTTTTTCAAATGTGTGGCCTCTCTCAAAGGTCAGTTTACTGTAGAGAGTGCCGTAGGTCCACTGGAAAGTCTGTTCAAATTTGATCTGAATGTCAGAATTTCATTATACTTTCCACGTACACTGACCAAAGCATAATACTCAATGACAGAAGACTGTTGCCTGGGCGGGAAAGGAGATATCTGGCTGTATTTCTGATTTGATTACAGAACCAAACTCTATTATAGTCATTTAAATCCAAGCTTCTTTGTCAATAAAACTCCCAGTCTTTGACCTCCCTCACAGAGGGCCTGGGATAATATGCAGGTAAAAAGTATTTAAATTCCTCCCGAAGTGGTACACAGATCACTGTGCTAATGACTTTCCTCTGAATCAACTGGTAAAGTAATAGGCTTAAGAGTCTTCCAGTTACTAAGTAGTGAAGTTGTCTCTTTTCCCAGGCAACTAGAAATTGTTGGGAATTTTCTAGGAAAAGCCATCCCCTTCAAATAATGTGGCTGCCTTTAAAATTATCCCCCTGCTTTTAAACTTTTATACAAAGCCTTCATTTTTTTTTGGATTGTTTATTTTATGCCCTATGAAACAGGTGTGTAAGCTTCCTGGTTTCCCACAAGTGAATAGACATCTCATCTTTGTGTGATACTAGGTGACCTCCTTAGCTTGCTTCAGTTTCCTCAGCTATGAAATGAAGGGGGAGAGCAGATGGATGCTGAGTCTCTTCCAGCTCTAACACTTTCCATTCACGTAGAGGAAGGTAGCGTAACGTAGGGAAAGTCATGGGCTTTGAAACTGGACAGACTTAGGTCGGAATTTTAAGTTTCCTCAGTTGTACGGCAGGGGGTAATGATATGTTAGTTCTCAGGGTTATAAAAGCATGTGGGATAGGGCTTGGCACAGAAAGACATTCCAGAAAGGTGAGGCTTCCTGGCTCCCTATTCCTCCATGGCTTTTCGCCTGCACCTGGTTAGGCCTCCTCTTACTGATAGAGTGAGAAGCAACCCCCTGGTCCTTATTCAAGTGCAGGGACAAGATTTCTGGGAAGGGAAACCCAGCAGTCCTGTGGGTAACAGGTTCTTGGTTTCTTCCTGAACTGGTGACCACTGGGGCATGAAGTTACCATTTTGGGTCTGGTTGAAATGTGGCAGGAGGTAACTACAGAACCAAAGGTCACTGTTGCTATAGATGTAATGGGGGCTCACCAGAGCCCGCAGCAGGTAACGAAAGTCTTCTCCCTGGGGAGTAGGTGGGGTCACCTTCTCTCTGCCGTGAGAATCCAGGGAGGCTAACAGCATTTGAGAGTTGGAAGCAGCCTTGAAGACCATTAGAGAGGAGGAAACCAAGATACAGGGAGGGAAAGTGACTTTCCCATGATCACACAGCCAATCAAGCAGCAGAGGTGAGAACAGTGTCTCTGGATCCTCCGGAATTCACACTCATGACCCTCTTCATTTCAACGCAGATGTTGTCAGCCCTGGTTGAGAGCTTGGATTCTGGAGGTAGATAGATCTGGTTAACCTCCTCCTCTCAATTCTGTTATCTGGGGCATAAGGCTCCACCTCTCTGGCCTGAGCGGTCTCAACTATAAAGTCAACCCTACCCGTGTGAGCATTCACAGCAACACTGTATGTGTAGCGCTTAACAAAGGGTCTGGCACAGTCAGCTTCCACGACAGAAGGTTCTAATGATCATTAATTGGCGTTTTCAGGAAGGGCTGCCATCCCTTCCCTCTACACCTGCAGTTCCGAGCCGAACCCCACCCTCTCCTAACCCCTACGCCGCCACGCTGCAGCGGGCTCGTCAAGGCGCGGAGGAGCCCGGTGCCAGGGCGTGGCGGTCCCCAGGCTCACCTGGCGAGGCCAGGAGCACCTTCGCCCCGCAGCACTGGAAGCAGTGCAGCAGGGACTTGCCGCGGATGTTACAGTTGAGGCACGCCATGGCACAGCCCAGCTTGGCCAGCCCCAGCCACAGCCATACGTAGGCCGGTTCGTTGCCCAGGAATATCGCCACGCACTCTCCCTGCCGGAGGCCGAGGCGGTCGCGCAGCGCCCTCGCCACTTGGTTGCTGCGTCGGTCCACCTGCACGTAGCTGAGCGTCTGGTCGCGGAAGATCAGGAACGGCTTGTGCGGGCTCTGGTGTGCTCTCTCCAGAAAGGCGTGGAGGATGGTGCGCACCGGCCGGCGCTGCCCATAGCTGCGCACCTGCCGGGCCATCCTGGCCAACCGCAGGAAGTAGCTCACGTCCTGGAAGAAGTAGGGGGAGCAGAGGTTCACCAGTAGCGGCACTAGCAGCACCCCCGCCAGGACCGCGTAGATGACGGGCAGCATGACGGCGGCCGGGGCCCCAGGTCCCTCGAGGGCAGAGGGCGCGCTTCGGGCGTGCAGCACGGCGTCGGGGCGGGCTCTGGGCGGACGACTGGCGGGCGGCACAGGGGCGCTCTGCGAGGCGGGGGCGACGGCGGAGCGCCTGGGCTGCCGGCACCGTTGCGTGCTCTCGGGCAGGTGGAGCGGTGTCTGGGCTGCCTGGGTTTCGGGGCACGACCGGCCGGCTGAGCCCGCCCCCTCGTCGGGGTGCAGCCACCTGCGCGCCAGGCCCGCCCCTGCGGTCCTCCCAAGGCGGGGAAGGCGGATCTGCGGCTCACTGGGGCCTCGGGGCCGCCTCTCCGCCCGAGTCTGGAGGTCTGGGGGCAAGGCTGGACTCCCCCGTGGTGTGATCTTATCAAAATGGTGACCGTAAGACACCTTAGAAGACGCTGAGAAGATTGGAGGAGATAATGCAGGCGCAGGGCTAGTGTTATTCATTGCTGCCCGAATAGAGTGCCTTATAGAGACTACAGATTGTTAATATCAATAGAGAACCTTCAAGTGGGAGACAGCCCTATTAGTAGCGGGCACCAGGTGCCACCGCCGAATCAGAATTCCATCTCTCCTTCCTGGTCCTGGGGGCATTCCGCCTACTCTCTGTTTCTCACATTTGCTTTCCAACACCCCGCACCCCGCCGGACCCCGCCCAACCCCCAGGCTAATTGCCAGGAGGGCTCTTGTGACAAAGAATTCAGGGGTGAACAAAAGCGCCTGCGATTGCCGCCTCCCGCTCATCCCAGCCCCTGGGCAGTGAGTGAGGATGGGACGCTCCAATCCGAGACGCCCCTTCGGCCCAGCTAGCCCAGATTAAGCTTGAGGTAGCACCACACTGCCACATGAAACCAAGTTCCGGTGAGGTTTTGATTAGTTATAGTACGTTGTTCTTTAAGTGATCTCCCCTTCCCCCCTCCTTGTATGTTGAAAATTCTCAAGTATTGTCAGTCCAGTTCAATTCAGTTTACTAAGTGGCTCCGTGAGAAACTAGCACCAGAGGAAATTAAGTAAAAGTTATTGGCATTTCTCAGAAGCCATTTCTTTTTCTTTTTTTAAAAAATACATCTTTATTGGAGTATAATTGCTTTACAATGGTGTGTTAGTTTCTGCTGTGCAACAAAGTGAATCAGCTATATGTATACCTATATCCCCATATCCCCTGCCTCTTGCGTCTCCCTCCCACCCTCCCTATCCCACCCCTCTAGGTGGTCACAAAGCACCGAGCTGATCTCCCTGTGCTATGCGGCTGCTTCCCACTAGCGATCTGTTTTACATTTGGTCGTGTATATATGTCCATGCCACTCTCTCACTACGTCCCACCCTTCCCTACTGCCCCTGTGTCCTCAAGTTGGTTCAGAAGCCATTTCTTTTAGGGTGATCCTTTCTTTTAATTTCCCTTAGTGCTGCTTGTATACAGAGTGAATACAGGCTGCTACGGAGGAGGGTCAGGATTTAAGTAAAGCAGCGTTTTACTCTCTGCCTCCTCTGTCTTCCTGCATTCATCCGTTTTATTCTTTTGAGACAACCACAAGTAATGAATGCTTACCCCTGCCAGAAACTCTGCTAGGGGCTTCCCTGTATGATATTTTTGGAGCCTCACAATCATCTAAAGATGGCACTATCGTGCTCATTTATAGACAGGAAAGGGACACTGAGAGAGGTGAATTAAGACAGCTAGTAAGTGATGCATGGGATTTTGGAATTGGTATCTTTTTGTTCCCAGGCCCACTCTTTACTGTAGCAACGTGTTATGCTGTTCTCCTATTCTGTGGGTTTCTATCCATGTTTTCTTTTTCCTTTAGCAATTTTATTTTTTTCCCCCTTTCACGATCTCCCCTTCCCCCATTTTTGTATCCCCCTCTTTTTATCCATGGGACCTGCTCTAGCAACCCTTTCCCTTTTCCTGACTCTTTCATGGCTAATCCAGCTACTATCTAGTGACTGGTTGCGTCATTGCCCTGGAGAAGAGCCGGGGACCTTGGTTATCCCTGAGGAGAAGGCTGTAGTGTAAAAGTAGAGGTCAGGACAGAAGGCATTCTGTAGAGCACCTCTTTTTTCATGTTGAAGCTAGAGCCAGGCCTCCTTTTCCATCCCAAAGCCACCTGGTCCCTTCATGACTAATCACTTCAGTGTAGCCTCCTAGACCTCTCTTGTGTTGTTCTTAAGCAGCTACGCTTTCCCCAGAGTCCTTGATTGCCACAAATGCCCACTTTCTCCTCTCTTACTCTGAGGATCACTTCAGCCTTGTGCATCCACAGTTTTTCGGCAGCAACTGAAAGAGAACAACGCCCAAACTGGCTTAAGCAGGCACAGGAGTTTGAGACTCAGAGTCCAGGGGTAGAATAGGCTTCAGGTAAGCCAGTTTCCCTTTCTCCATTTCTCTGCTCCGCCTCCTCTGTTCTCAGGCTGATTCTCCCATCATGGTCCAAAGATGGCTGCCAAGCCCTTAGGGGTACCTGCTTCCAGTGTCGACTTCAGACAGAAATGTAAGATTCTTTTCCATAAGAGAAAAAAAAAAAAAAAAAAGGAAGGAAAGAAAAAGAAGAAAGAAAGCTCTTACTGGGTTATGTGCCTGTCTTTGTGGGCTGGGGGGAGAGAAATGCTGATTGGTTTAAGCCAATCAGGGCTCACCCATGGAACTGGGGGTACAGTCGATCCCACCTATACCATACTATGGAAAAATCAGGGTCTTATTAAAAAGGAAGTGGGGAGAAGAAATGAATTTGGGGAAACAATTAGCTAACTTTTTCCCCCAATGATTCTAGCTTCCAGCCTGGGTTCCACTTTGTGCTCTACCACCAGCCTAATGGTCTTCATAGAAATTTTGCTGTCATCATCTCGCCAACGCTCAGTTATCTTCAGTGACCCCCTCATTGCTTCCCATCCTCTTCCACTCATAGCGTCTATAGACAATTGTCATATTTGTACAGCATACTAGAACACATCTGGGCTGGAGCTGATCAGATGCCCTGGGTCCTGCCTGGCTCTCTTGAGGAGGGAGAAGATTGGTAGCTTAGCACATTGGTTACCCATTCTAGAAACATCTGCTGGGAAGCTCTGGTTTATAAAATGAAGTTCAAACTTTAATTTCTGGCTCTTCTGATGCTGACTTGAACTTTCACTGCACTCAGTTAACAAATATTTATTGAGTTTCTACTATGAACCGAACATCATGAGGCACTAAGTATTTCAAAATGGATGAAAACTTAATTGCCGCTACTCCTTTTCAAGAACACTTCGTTTTGAAGAGTCTGGCCTACACCCTCCTAAAAATGCCCTGCAGATTCCTCTTTGTATGAATTTGTTCTTGCCTATTTCCATCCCTGAACTCTCCACCCCTGTAAATCCTAACTCTTTAAGGCAGTGGTTCACAGATTCCTGGTTTTCTCAGTCCAGTAGCATTTCAAAGTAAAGTACCAACTTAAAAAATTTTCCAGTAGAATCAGCTGCCCCTAGCCAACTACAGTCTGTTTTTATTACTATTTCATAAAAGAATGACATTTTAGCATTAAAAAGGAAAGTATAATATCTCTTATATGTGGAATCTAAAAAAATGGTACAAATGAACTTATTTATAAAACAGAAATAGAGTCACAGACGTAGAAAACAAACTTATGGTTACTGGGGAGGAGGGGAGGAGGATAAATTGGGAGACTGGGACTGACATATACACATGTACATATATAAAATAGATAACCAATAAGGACCTACTGTATAATACAGGGAATGCTTCTCAATACTCTGTAATGACCTATATGGGAAAAGAATCTAAAAAAAGAGTGGATGTATGTATATGTATAACTGATTCACTTTGCTGTACACCTGAAACTAACACAACATTGTAAATCAACTATATTCCAATAAAAATTATAAAAAAAGAAAGTATAACTGAACCGTACACTTATGGTTAAAATGGTTAAAATGGTTAATTTTATGTTATGTATATTTCACCACAAAAATATACACACAAAAAAAGGAAAAATACACACAAAAAGGAAAGTATAGTCCTTTTTGAGGAAGGATGGAGACAACATGATACCAACATATAAAAAAGATAGAAATTAAAATATTTTTGAATGCAGAAAAAATACAACTTTTATTGGTTTATTATCCATAGATATTATTTCTATGTAAGTTTGAATGTTTAGAAATATAAATTCAGTAGTGAAGCATGAATTGAACCAAACCTCTTGGACTTTGATGTAACTCAAGATTGTTTTATCACTGAGGTCTCAAATGTGGAGCTTCCTTACCTCATACCCTTAGTGAAGCTGCCTAGTCCCTTCTGCTCCCATGCCCCCACAGCCACTGAGCCTACCTGTTACCTTCATCAAGATTCTAGTGCCTTCCTGACCAGTCACTTCAGCCTCCTAGACTCCTTGTTTTCTTAAACTTTCTACCCAGAGCACTAGGTTACCGCAAGTGCCCACTCTCTTCTGACCCATTCTGAGGCACTGCAGGAGGAGTTCAGGAGACAGATGTGATAACTGGAGTGCACGTTGACACCTGCTAGCCTGGGTCAGGACTTCCCTGATGCTTCACCCCAATTCGTTCATGTCTGCTGGTGTCTTAGGGAAAGCCTCCCGGTGGCAGTTCCTAACTCCCTTCTATGTCCCCAATCCCAACCTCAAATGCTCTATAAAAGCAGGTGGTCTCTCCTCCTACTTTATGGGCATCAAAATTACCTGGAGAACATGCTAAAACACAGCTTGCTAAGCCACACCTGGATAATTTCTGATTCTGTAAGTCTTGGGTGGGGCCAGAGAATTCACATTTCTAAGAAGTTACCAGAAAATGCTGTAGCTGTTGGTCCAGGGACTATACTTTGGGAATGATTGATTTAACCCAATGGTTTCCCAGCTGCTCAGCAGAGCCCGAGGACTTCTGAGGAGCCACTGAGGAAAATTCATTGCAGAGCATGGGAAGGGGACTCTGGGACCCAACCCAGCTCCAATCAGAGGAGCTCCATGTATATGTCTTTTACATATTGGACCATCATGTAGACTTCACATGAAAAGAGTGCTCCTATAACCTTTTCTTCTAAATACTCCAACCTGTGTGGATCTATCCCTTGTACTTGACTTATAAACCTACCACACAGCTTGGCTGTTGCTTATTTCATGACTGTTAGTTTTGCCTTCCCAATTAGGATTCAGTTT